TGCCAGTGCCAGTGCCAGTGCGAGTGCTAATGCTGGTGCTTCACTACCGCTGGTGCTACTGGTGCTGCGACAAGACGGCGGCGACTACTACGGAGCAACGGGTGTTTTGTGTAGGAGTCACCGTCGATTATGTAGATGATTATTATTGCGGCTTTGCTTTTCGGTTCCGGATTGTGACTTCGTAAGCTGGCCAGCATCTATTTCTCGAGTAAGTTTTTCAAGACGCCTTGAGACCCTGAGCCGCTGCTCAAACACTAAGCCCGAGCCAGGACACTGCCGACCCTGCTGCTGCCGTCAGGAGTGCACAAAGGGTCAGGCCAGCCAAGAAGCTCTCGGGGCTCGTGTTTGGAGTTTCCAGTTTCGGGAAGCTCGAAGCGAAAGGCCCTGCAGGGGGCCTTCCCTCGGAGAAGTAGATGTGCTTGTGGAGTCCTGCCAAGGGTTCCCAGGTACGCTCGTTTACCCCAGCACGTCATACTGAAGCATCTTGCTTGGCCACTGGCCTCCCATTCAGGGTCGTGCCTTTTGCTGTATCTGCGATCTTTCGGTCGTTACGTCGGGTTCGGGGCGATACTGAATACCTGGCCAACGTTGCGTATTTTGACACGGCCCTTGGAAGCGACCCCCTTCGGAACCTAGCCGGAGACCCCCATCCAAGCCCGTACCCGTGAACCGCGGCTGCCAGGCTTCTTTCCATGTCAGCGCGATTGGCGCTACTCACCTTGCTCGGTCATAGAATACTGTCCTGCGCCTCACTGCGACATGATGAGGAAGTGCCTTGCTTGTAGTTTGGCCGTGTTCTGTAGTTTCCAGGTATGCCAGGGCATTTGGGCGTAGCAGTGGGCTTTCAGATGCTGGTGGTGTTGCTCCTCCTCCTGTTCCACCTCCCCCAGCACGACGACGACTATCGCTGCTAAGGCTACTACTACTGCGACTAGTCTACTGCTACTAGGGCTACTGCTGCTACTACTACTACTACTACTACTGCTACTACTCCTACTGCTACGGCTACTGCTACTGCTACTACTACTGCTACTGCTACTGCTACTGCTACTACGACGACGACGACGACTACTACTACTGCTACTATTACTACTGCAAGTGGGTGACAAAACTTCCTGCT